CTTAAACGTTAAACTCTGACCTTTATCGGAAACCGGGATGTAACTTGCAATGAAGAAGGGCATTCAGCTGTAACGTCGAACTGCGATCTGATTGTTTGATTTGGAATCATCTGTCCGAGTGATATCTATTCTCTACTGTAGCGGTGATCATCTTATGCCGACGGGTAATTTCTCCTCACATAATTGGTTTTTCAAACTAATATACAAAGCTAATTTGAACCATTTCAAATAACAAATTTCCAAATAATTAATTGATGTGTTAAAGTTAGGTAATTTAGCAGTACTTCATTTCATACGAACTTGTTCGTTGCATATTATCACGCACACCAAAACAGTATTGCGTGATATACGACGTCTGGAACACAATTCGTTTATCTTCATAATCATATCCGTTGTGTGACATGAATAAGTGTCCAAATAAAATTTCTTACAAAGTTTCCTGTTCTAGCACAGACTGGTAATAGAATTTAAGACATGTGCCTCGTACTTTCAGAGACTCGTCAGCTAAATGTACTTCCCGCCAATTGTTTAATTAGAGTGACATCCATTCAGTATCAATATCATTAAATTGTTTTTCCCTGTGGCAATCGTTTGACTAAAAGTGAGTGAACTTGGTAGTATCCAAGATATCTTCAGAGTGCTTTCTTCCTCTATTGGTCATCACTTTCACGCTGTCGTCCATTATTCTTCATATTTGACAGTCTACAATAGTTAGTCCTACAATTTCAATTGGGATTTCGATAGTAGAATTATTTGAGGTTAACAAAAAATCAGAGGAATCTCTAGTTTGCATTATTTTTTCTTATCTAAATCACTTTTCATTCTATTTATCGAACAGCTAAGGTTTGATTTCCGTAGTTATCAGGTGCATTAAAATGAATTTTGTTTTCTCTACATAAATTCAGAAAAAGCTGACCAGAAGACTATTTCACTGGGAATGAGTAAAGCACTGCTTCAGTGTGTCCCAGGCACAGAGGTAACCCCAAAACAACTTCATATTTGAAATAAACTTAGCTAATATGGAATTACACCCTACAACAACTGTGCCCCCAAGTTCTGACCTAACATACATCAAGGTCTGGATTTCGTGGATGACAGATGATGGGCAACTGTGAAGCTAGCCATCTAGGGAGGACAGTAGAGAATGGGATAGGGTGGAGACGTGCTCTTGAAGCACTTTGTTACTCTTCGTACATAAACCCAAGTTGTCCTATAAGGCCAACAGTTGATTTTATAAAAATCCTTATTTAGGAATTATCTAAACACTTACCATTCACTCAGCAGAAATCCTTCAAAATCTAGATTATTAATTCATGTTAAATGGAAAAGAATTACAGTGACATTCGAATAGGGGGTGATGAGAAATGCGGTTAGTTTTTAAAAAATAATCAGTCTTTATACTAATGTACCAATTAGTTTGGCTTTCGAAACAGTTCGAAGAGAACTTACTGCTTATCCCCAACTTACTCATAGGACAAAGGCGTCAAACTTTTACGAAATTATCTTGGAAATCCAATTATACCTCACATCTACTTTCTTCAAATCTCAAGGAAAGATGTGTAGATAAACAAAAAGAAGGAGGAGCAGTCGAATCACTATTAAAAACCACATTCGCAACAGATACCTTCACGGATAGTTGACCCAAATTATGACCCATAACTCTGATTACAGTTAATCCTACTCCAAACATATGATGAGGATTGGTGGATAACACTTTCACGGTGTTAAAAACAGAACATATCTCTAGCTTCTCCAAACGTATAATGTGAATAGTAAGTATTGGAAACAGAATTTACATTCCGGTCAGAAAATCAACAAGGCGAATTAACTAACTATGTCAGAATATATAAACTAATAACAGACGGGAGAAGGTTGACGATTCACACACATTTATGTGAAAAACCAACATACTCCAACAGATATCTAGATTTCAGTCCATCTCATCCGTTACCTGTGAAGCAAGTCTTGATAAGTGTAACGTAGTCAGATATAAACGAAGATCTGTTCAGTGAAGAGTTTCTCATTTTTCGTTGATATCATTCTCAAGCTGTAAAATCGTGTATACATGGTAAATTTTCTTGGCAACAAAAGGAATGTTTCCAAATATGTGTCATTAGAGTTGCAAACTTTAGATAACAAATCTTTTCTGGACATTCAATAAACGAAGCATGGGTAATATGGAACATTAAAAAGATTCATCTACAGAAAACCGAGATGGAACGGAAAGCTCATTAACTTTCGTAGTTGGGTGCTTCTATAAACAAAACGAAACCTGATCCATTCATTGAGCCACAGAATCCGATGCATTTGTAGCTTTGATGCTATGGAAGAGGAGGGGAACACTCTGAAAATAAAATTCCTCGAAAATGACTACCCAGAACGTCAATTTACCACAAAAACCATGAAGCCTAAATCACTGAAACCACCCGCACATTTTGATCCTAAAAGACTTCCCTACCTGAATCTACAGTTCACAAGGTGATTCATTGGCAGAAACACTGAGAAACCACCCGTTTCACCCACTGAAGAAAGCCCTCTTCGCTGTTGAACTTGGACGAACTTTCTTTACTAAATCAATGATTTGCATAAATGTCGTGAAGTATAAGCTACCACTGCTTACTCGAGTCATCAATGTGCATCTATCAGTTCACTAAGTGGTGGTGCACCACTTGCCATACTGACAACTTGTAATACCCTTTACAGTATGACAGAGTTCCCTTTGAGTTGCACAGGAAATACTGCGGGTGGAAGAGTAATGGAGACTAGTGATTAAGATGCAAGGATTACCAAGTTGTAAAAGATTAGGGAATGAGAAATTCTAGGTTGTCCTACCTTCTTAATTTAGTCGGCTGGACGGAACATTTTCTTAGAAATAGACAGGATATTGGGAGACAAAGAAAGGTCAGACGATATTTATATGTTCCGAGGTTTTTTAAGCTTGACTTGGTTTCTATTTCTATGCCATTTAGGCTACAAGTAGAGACTGATGAACTAATGAGATCATTAAGATCACGTCTATTCATGAAGGTGAAATTACCAATCTGAAATTTGGGGGGATTTAACTTAAAACCATTTACCTTAGACTGCTGGCTGGCTAATGTTGGACAGTCGGTCAGTTTGTAACAGTCAGCTCGGGAACTAATTGATCAGGAGGCATTAAGGTCGTCAGCACATTGAATTAAATTGATTTCTTCTTAACAAGGCACATCCTGTGACTTTGTTAGCGCCATGTTAACTTCATTCGTTCAGACTACCTACTGATTATCACCGGCAACGACAGTGTTTGTATGTCCAACTTTATAAATCAATCCATTGAGTTCAGGTGGTTCCTCACACAAAAGTCACAATGTATACAGAGTTTTTACATTCTCACCACCTACCCTTTCGACTACAAAAATCTTTACATAGAATCAAAGAATATTTTTGTTTTTATTCCTTTACATTTCGATGAGGAACATAGGACTTCATGCTGAAAACTCTGAAGTTTTCGCAGCAGTGGCCTTTTTTAATGGTCTGCTAGCCACACGCCTAACCTCCCTATTTCACTGGCCTTACTACGGTCTTGGCGAGGAGTGTATTGACGAGGGATCAAAACTCGGTTGGTTAGCGTCCTACCGAAGCTAAACCACCAACGCAAAGAATAGTAAAGAATATCTGCTAAGTTCAAACAGAGTTATTCCATTATGGGTAAATTTTATTTTTATTGAGTCTCACAGTGTTATACAGTAATATTTACTGATGACGTTTCGAGCACAATTTATTGCTCATAATCATATCAAGTTAATCACACGACTTCCTAAATTCATTTATATAGTTCCATTGTTTTCACTTGATTTTCACTTGATTTGATTGGTAGTATTATTTTCCATATCTCGGGTATGAGTGATGATTCATTCCTATTGCATGTGTTGGGTGTAGATTCGATGAACAAAGATTCAGTAATCAGCCTCTCTCTCCACCTACCTAGATTACTTTTTAGAATTTTAACCCTCTCCCACCCTATTGTGTGGTTGTGTGTTAATGCATGCATTGCAATTGCCGAGCTTTTTTCTAAATTACTTATCTCTCTGGGTCAACCATTCTTACCTTAGCTAAATTCTTATGTTCTGACAATCTGACTACCCCTGACCTACTAGTTTGACCTATGTAGTTGACCTCACAGTCATTGCAGGGTATTTTGTAAATTATATTATTTTGTCTAATTGGGTCCACTGGGTCCTTTAACCTACAGAGCTTGTCCCTGAGTGAGTTTGTAGGTTTAAATGAAACCCTAATTCCTGCTTTATTTAGAATCCTACGTAGGGTCTCAGATGTCCCCTCTTTATATGGTATGACTGTAGATGACTTATATCTACACCCGAGATATGGAAAATAATACTACCAATCAAATCAAGTGAAAATCAAGTGAAAACAATGGAACTATATAAATGAATTTAGGAAGTCGTGTGATTAACTTGATATGATTATGAGCAATAAATTGTGCTCGAAACGTCATCAGTAAATATTACTGTATAACACTGTGAGACTCAATAAAAATAAAATTTACCCATAATGGAATTACACTCTACCACAGTGCCCAAGTTTTATTCTTATATCAAACAGAGTTAGCATAATTGCCTTTCAAATACAGCTTGATCTCTTAACAGTTGACAATTAAATCTTGCGTGAAATCGCGACTAGTGCGACATAACAGGTCAGATGGGAGGACGAATACTGGCCACCTATGAAATCGGCTATTGCCAGTCACTCTATATCGCAGAAGTTGAAACTCATAGGGTGGATGGCCAGAAATTCGTGGGTCCGAACCGTGGCAGTGGGTGCGTACTGATGAAGAGTCCCAACTACTAGTATGACACTGCTGTTTTGCATTACTACCTACTGGTTTTCCAATGGTTCTCTTCTAACCAATGTCAGCTAATGATGAAATCATGTAACCAATGAAATTCTTGCAAAGCAACACTTGAATGACAATTGAAAAAAACAAATACACTCAGACTTACTCAAATTATCAAAATGAGAATAACGATGAAGTTTTTTAAACAGTTTAATAGATATCCATGAACTTCTCAGGCAAACACTTATCAAAGCCAATGTTCCACCAATTCCAGTAAGAAAAATTATGACTAATTCTACATAGAATATCTGTCTATTACTCGTGGACATTTAACAAGATTTCTGTGCACAACAATCACATGTGCAGTAGACCTCCAGTAAGTCCCATGTAACATAGAGGTTTTGTTAGACTGAAAATTATTGCAATAAAATTATTTTTTATTTTGCAGTAAAATTACATGAGAGAAAAACAGATAAAATAACCTTCTGTTATATTTTCATTGCTTCTAACTAACACATACTCACGTCTGATTGGCTAGTTAGTTATTTCAGGGAAATTTAATAAAGTGACCAATTACAATTTGATATTGCCATAATAATCAGCTGGTTGTTTATCTTGCCGATTTGATCGCGTCAAACCGAAAAAGATCACTTCGTAAATTATTGCATTTATCAGTAAAAGTTTCAAGTTATTTATTGTTATAATAAAGGTTCCTTTCATATAGCCAAAGCTCCGTAGATAGATAGATAGATAGATTATGATTCTTCTATCCACTGTGAATCTCGTGACGTCACTTTGGACTTGATTATAAAGTCGACCTGTTCATAAAATAAGACAACTTCATTTTGGTCTTTACTCAGCTTGGATTAATTTAAACTGGCATTGTATATAGAACTAGCTTACAGATGTATTCAGACGGATAGTTGAACAACTTCATCTGTGCGTCGGTGGAACAGCAGTTAGGACTCTCTCCGACCATGCACATGGTGTGGGGTTCGACCCTCTGCCGACACACACCTGATATAAATGGTTGGCCTACAAAATTTGGGCTACCGATATCACCTGCTGAAAATTTCATACTTGTACCAAAAATGCTGTGTGGAATCAAGCTATTATCAATACATATATATATATATACAAACAGCTACATTTGCTTCACATCTTGTTAAATCAGCTACAAATAGAGTACGCATCATCAAGTACCTGAGTGATTTCTTAAGAAATTCCCTTTTGGATTCCTAAGAATAAAAGCCATTGTTATGTAACAATCTAGTGTAATGGGAGAAGACTAGAGACTCGGTAAGAGGATGTTTATTTGGAATTCGATATCTCTTCTATATAGGAAAATTATGTTTACCTTATGTGAAAGATGCCATTTGCACCGATCTTCCGTATCGTGCTGCATTTCCGCTCTTCGTGTATTATCTTTCTTTGTCTTCTTTTCTGGTATCCCGTGTTTTGCCGCAATACTGGTAGGTTCATTTCCTCTCTCTTTGGCATCAAATCTCTGTCTCTGCTACTTCTGTGACATTTTTGTGTCAATGAACGTCTTTTTTTACATTAATGGTAAACCTCGTCAGTAGCATACGCCACATCCGTCACCCATAGTCAAATAGTTTCCAGCAGAGCTGTTCCGACCTTCTTCGTTCTACGCGTTTTTGTTGTGCCTTGATCTCGGATTCCTTATCCCACTGTATCCATTTCTGAAGTTAGTTTATGTTAGCCTGAAATATTAGCTGGTGGCTGCACTATATATATGAATCGCGAATAGGCGGAGGGTGGAATTCATGGACTGGCCGTTTAATGGGATCCCAGGAGCTGAATTATCTAGATGTACAAATTAGTGTTCTTTAATTATTACATTAGATTTTCAGACAAAACTGATTATAAAGTCCATATGACAAATTATTTTCCATAAATTAACTTACATGGATGCACCATGAACTCTATAGATGGGAAAATATGAGATGAAAAACCAGAGGAAAACGTTTTTGTATACAAACGTACAAGATTTTTGTGCTAACCAAGTAAACTCATTGAATACTGATCATTTATTTGGATTTCGCGGTTGATTTGTGTTTAGTGACACACAAGCTTGAAGAATTATAGACGTAGGCAAACAAACAAACTGACTGAAGAAGCAGCCAGTGAAGACAGGACTCTAGGTGAACATGGAGAAGACGAAAGTAGGTGATGAAGATAACCAACCAACAAATAGCAACAACACCCAGCACCAATCGCCTTCAACGGGAGAAGGTTCAAAAGAGGTTACTTCCTGTCTTCACTGATCTAGGCGGTCAGCATCGTATCAAACACACGCACGACACACGGAAGAACATGTCAAAGCCAGCCAGCCAGACAGACAGACAGACAGGATAGGAAAGGCAACGCAACACAATCCCATCAATCTCAAATCAGTTTGGAAATCTCCTCCACTACAAACATCACAACAAACAACAAGACCCGGATTCCATTCAACACAAATGTGAAGTCAGTTGGTCAGTCAATCAGTTCTTCTATTTGGGTCAGAAACTTGGCCAATGCGTGTCATGGAAAGCATTTCGAATAGCTAGTTATCAACTTTTATCAACAGCTGCACACTTCGCTGGCTGGATGGCTGGCTGGCTCCATATTGGAGTTGAAATGGTAGGCCGGCGAGAAATAGTTAGCAACAAAAAACTTTGAAAACTATCGAAGCAAGAACCTATCGCTCGACGAATATGTTGAGGAGAATGGAGATGGATTGGGTGCACGCCATGGAGCAGGTCATCTCTCGAGTGGAACGCGAATGGGAAATGAAGAGTCGGGCATTTATCATAACGAGGATGACATGGATGAGATCGTTTTCTGTAGGTAGAGATGAGAGTCTATGAGGAATTTTCGTGCTAATCAGCTAAATAGGACATCAGAAAGTGGAATAGGGTTAAGATTTGGGGCTGATGAAGCTCTACATTTCATTAGTCAAACAAAGAAATAACAATAAATATTCACTGTCGCTTGATTACTTTGTAACCATGCATTCCGCTAGGTTATTATTATTTTGACAACCAGATAGTAACATTTGACATACTTGAATCATTTATAGCATAAATCATTTTTTTCTCTTTTTAGGCATTTGTCTGTTGTATGGCATTGGACACATACATACGCTATCAGCTGATGTTGATAAACCTTCATATAATATTCCATCAGTGAATGATATTCGGTTGTTTGACAGTTTCTAATAGCTACAATCTGTAGGATCACGTTTTTCCATGTAGTGAATCAAAGTCATTAAAAAAGTCATTCGGCATGAGATTTAATATAATGAGTGGATCAAGTTTTATAAATGATGTATGATGATGAGTTAGAAACATTCATTTTCCGACATGAATTTAAAACAAGTCACAAAAGGTGCTGTTAATGAAGAAGAATTTCATGAATTCATCAAATTTCGGTAGAGATCTCCATCAGCTGGATGAAGTCTCTACATAGAGGGATATAAAATTAAAGTAAAATGTATTATACTGTTCAGCTACATTATTCAAATAAACAGTTACTTATTACTGAGAACTTATTTTGTTCCAAGACTCGCCTTCCTTAACACCACAACAGAGCGGGTGCTTCATGAATCCACGAAAGACCAGTATTTGCCAATCGTTGACACTTCTAACTGCCTATATCAATTCGATGAGTGTATTTATGGGATAAGATACATAGGTGGTGGCATAGAAAGGTGATTGTCTATTCACATGATGCAGCATTTGCCAAAGTGGTTGGAAACAGACGAAGTCAAAGTGCCTAAAAGTTCAATAACAAAGCATCTTGTGGACTACAGACACGATACTGACGCTGTCAAGTCATTCACTGTTGTCAGCAAACAGACAGACAGGAAGATGCTCGAAAATGGAGGAGGCTTGTGCAATTATGGTTGAGAAACCAGATCTATATGTACAAAAGGAAATAGTGGTCATTCTGAATCTACCATGGTAACGTTTTACTTTTTAAGTGTTATTACTACTAATATTTTACTCTACATGCGACGTCTTATTATAACTATTTCCGATTTATTTAAAACTACCTTTTATCATTACCACTATCTTGACTCCATGTAACATTATTAATATTATTGTTGCTATTAATATTACTATTATTATCAATATTACTTAGTTCTCAATTCTTGATATATGTACAAGTTCTCTCACTCACTGATAACAAACTAATTGTTTATCTAAGTGATGCAATTGAAATGTATAAGGGATTTCAGCTTTTTTTATATCATTGTATGTGGAGTATCCACCCAGCTGAGAAATACTTCTACTGAAATTTGATGAATTTATGAAATCCCGATTTCTTAACACCTTTTATTACTTGTTTAATGATGTATGAGTTAAGAAGAAGTTTCAGTGTTTAAATACTCGCCAACCGTAAATGTGCTTGAGGGTTCGATTCCCACTCGTTGCTCGTATATAGCCTGGTGAAGAGGGAAGGTTGCGGGAGAAACTTACAACCTCACCCGAACAAAAGAGACAAATAAACGTCATTGCTGCTGGTGATTCAAAGCTCAAGCCTGAAGCCCCACGCTGCACGTGGAATGCAAAGTAATAAGTATATAATATATGTTCATTCAGACCTGATTATGTTTTTAAGTTAAATTATAAATGTAATTCCATAATAATTTGTTTATTAAACATATTACACAGTCAATGGAAGAGTATTATTTACTGAGTGACGACATTTTGAACACAAATTATCACCATTCCTAATTATATCATCAATTATTCTCTGTATACCTCCCTATTCGTGTCGTAGGGGTGGTAGTAGGATTTTCCAGATACCCAGGTGGACAGATGTTGAATCATTCCTTTCACACATATTCTGTCTCAGCTGATTCGATAAATAAAGCTTGCGTTATCAGTCTCTCTCCATACACTCTATTATATTAGATTTTAGAACTGCCATCTTACCCTATCCTATCTCATTACATGGTTGTGAGTAATTGCTTGTCGTCACTGTTATAGCGGGTGAACTGTTCTCCAGATTTCTTATCTCCTCAGGGTCAACTAATTTACACTTTGCTGCCAGGTTTTTGTGCTGCACCGCCAGTCTGACCGACTGACTGATCCCATTCTACTACTTCAACCTATGTATTTCATCTGACACATAATCATTCCAGTAGGTTATTGGATAAACTAAAACGTTTTGTTCAATTGGCTGCGATCCGCAGGATCGACTCTTTGACCGACAAAGCTCATTTCTAATTTGTTTGTGTGTGATTAAAGACCAGCCACTTTTATTCCTACCTGCCAGGATTCCGACGTCTCTTCTTTCTATGGAGGTACTACTGATGATGATTTAAATTGCCTATTGTTGATGTTTTTATCATTCTGTACGGTTGTCATGATTGCTGTTA